AATCACACACTGCCTACAGACATAAGTATCTCCATGCAGACGCCCAAAACGCGGGATACCTGCAAAAGATTAGAAAAGAGAATATAAACCAAAAAAATGCATGAGGAAAAATGAATTACTAAAATTTAATTATGAAGCAGAAAAATCAGTCATATTACCTCCAATTGGAGAAGCTGCAGCTGACATAGGATCGACCAGATTGAGCAAAGAAAAATTTCCAGATGCACGAAAAACCTCAGTGCATGTTCCATCAAATGCAAATATAAGTTTCTTCCCAGAAAGTTGCAAGGAAAGGTTTCCAAGTCTCTCCAGATCCCAAACAATCCCACTGCCATCTGCCTTAGAGTCCCCTAACTTGTTAATGCTATCTAGTTTCTGCAGGTTAGAAGCTGAAGGCAAGTCAGCATCTAAGGCGTCCAAGATGGCCATGCTACCACCACCACACGCCTGATTAGGAACAAATCGCAGAATATCTGAATCCTGGAACAGCCCTCTATATCCTCTACCAAGAATGTACATGAAACAAATACAACCTGATGCGAGCACCTCCTCAAAAAGATAACATGAACGGACTTTCCACATCAAATCACTAACTTTTGCACAAGTCGATGGGGTCCCAATGATCACCTGCAAAGGTTTCCCAACAGGAGATGGAGAATATCCAAGTTTCCCTGTGTGTCTCAGCTTTCCATCAAGATAGACATAAGCAACACTTGCTTGAAAAAGTCCAGCGAGAGCATTGGGCTTACTATGAACAACAGCAAGGTGATGCCACCTGCCTTCTTCCAGTTCTATTCCAGAAAATGATAAAGAGGAAGAGTTGCTAGTAGCAAGAGTCAAAACACCATCCTCCTGAAGATAAAGCTCTGCAAAGAATGAATTCTCATTATTCACAGCACCAACAGAAAATATCCGGAAAATATGCCGCTCATGTTGCTGCCCAACAGAGGTGCCTCGTCTCTTCGAAGAGCCAGCTTTAAGAGGCTCTGTTTCTTTCCCTTGTGTAGTCAAAAAATTTCGAAACTGAAACCAACAAACAAATGAATAACCAGCAGCTGGAGGCCAAGACCGTTCTCCCAAAGACACCTGAATAGAAGCATGCCCAACCTTGCTCATGTCCATTTCCACAAATGGAGCCAAAGAAACATTTTCTGAGATAGTATCTTCAGTGAGAATCAGCCTTTCCATCATATCAACAATAACATGACCTGAATTCATTAGCCTCATTTGCAGAATATATCTAATGAGCACTCTAAGTTCGGATGTTGACAACCTATCATCAAAAATATCAAACTTATATAACAAGTGAAATAGAATTTAAAAAAACATTGAGAAACAGATCAGAAAGATATAGTCAGAAGGAATGGTCAAAGTTCCTACCTGTATGATCCAAGAACTTCAACAATCTTCAGAGCATAAGAAAGTAAGGGAGATGAACCTGAAAGAAAAGGGTGGATTGTCTCCAACAGAAGCTCAACGCAACCTAATTATATTGAGAAATGTAAATAGTGAGAAGATATTAGTCACGAATCAATGAAAAGACAAAAAATGTTCGAACAGTCATTTCTCACCAACAGAGGTGAGGTTTTCCTGATTGAAGGCCCCAGCACGAGCAAGCTTTTCAATAAGATTCAATAATTCTAACTGCACCTTTGGGGTGAAAAGCAACAATGAACGGATTAACACTCTTATCGCACCAGCATTGTACACCCGTTCCTTATCAGGATTGAACAAGCCAGATGGTGTTGTCAGAAGGAAACAAGCTGATTCAGTTTCAATCATATCAGATGATTTTGCAGTCTCTGAAGTCAGGAATGGTGGGAGCACAATTTCAAGAGCAAGTTCTAACAGCAGTTGTATCACTTGTTTTTCACACTCCACAGATAACAAGCCAGACTCCAGAAGCAGGTCATAAAAAGTTTGTGATGATATAATAGCATGCAATTTTGTCCTATTAATGGAACTATCAGTCACCCCAGCTGTGATGAGGCGCAATAAGTACGTAAACACCTTGATGTAAACTACTAAAGGAGATTCATCTGTTTGCCCTCCATCACCTTGAAAACTGTGGAGAGTAGTCAACAGAAGAGAAAACCCAGTGGCTTCCCCAAATATCCTCTGAGCAGAACTATTGACTCCAAGAATACGCCACAAGGCTCCCATTGTATCACATTTTGCATCGTTTTGAAGCCTGTACTGATGTCCCGATACACTTGTAACCATTCCACTCTTCAGAACTTCAAGAACCACACCCAATTCTTCATGATGAACCTAATAAAACAGATATGACGTTTGTCTGTTATACCAAGTAAAAATAATGCAGTAATAATATGATATTTGCCTATGCAAGACACATGTAAGACTACAAAGACCATTGAATGTTAAATTGCTTCAAATAAAGTACATTCCAACAATGAAAAGACACAGGATTACATAGTGAAAACAAAAACCTTAAATATTTGACCTAATTCAAAGATACAAGCAAAAATTTTACACTTACTAACCTGTTTAACATCTTCAGTAATTAAGCATGACAATATCCGAAGAACTCCAGGACGATGAGTATTAGAAACCAAGAAAGGAAGAATAGTGGTCACACCATTAGCCGAACGGAATGCTGTTTGATTGGCTTCAGCTTTCTTTAACAAAGAGATCATACAATCCCATGCAACAGCTATTGTAAGCTCAACTTCAAAAATAGGAAACTTTCCTGAACCAGATTCCATTAACTTGGGAGAAGTGATGATAACGTCCTTACTGTCCAAGTGTTTCTTGAAGCTGCTTGAACTGGATTTTTTTTCTAACTGATTAGGGTTAACACCATGATTGTCTGGGCCCAGAAGAAACTTGTGCTGCTTCAGATCATTCCAATAGTACTTCCAGCACGCCAACCTCTCGCAGGACTTTCTTGTACTGTTGATCAAAAGATAGGAGCTTTACAAAGAAAGAGAGTATTGTGTGCTTCAATTCTGATGCAATTGGTTGCTGCAATAAGCAACAAAGTGACAGCAATTCTTGCTCTGGAACACAATTCACAACAGTCACAGCATATTCTAGAATTTTTAAGATGATCTCTTGCAACGATGGAGGGAAACCAGCCATGTTCAAGATAAGAAGTGGAACTGTCCGTAATTGCTGACACAAGTTATAGTTGTCAAGATGACTTGAAAATATCTTAAACATTCTATTTAATACTTCTGCCTGCAGATCCCTGTTGTCTGCCTTGAGGAAGATGTCTTGCAACATTTGGACTGCTTCAAGGTCTTTCACTTTGCTATTACCTTGTTCCCAAATTTCATCACCGAGCCTATCAATTGATGATTGATGGCTTCTGCTATGGCCACTAGTCTTAGCTTGGGACAACCTGGAACCCCTTCCTCCAGACTGCTCAGCTGGACCAGTTTGAGCTAAGGTAACAAGAACATCAAGCAACCTGGACAATGACGGTGAAAGATACAGTGGAGAAAGGTCCTCTTTTCTAGGGGCATCCTCTTCTGCTTCATCGAGAAATGCACGAGAACCTTCTGGACTGCAATTTTGTTCCGAAGGAGACCTGGAATTAATAGATACAATGCCCCGGCTCTGCGGCATGGAGGACAGAACTAGTGCAAACTGAACAAGAAATTGATAACCATGGGCATTATGTATATCCTCCCTGAGCCTGATACCACCAGCCTCTACAAATCAAAACTGAAATAAATTAGCAGCCATAGAACTAGTAAAAATCTAAGGCCCTGTTTAGTTGTAGAAAAAAATAATAATTCATATTTGTTCTAAAATATGGTAGTTAAAATGTGGCATGCTTTTGAAAACAATACAAAGTCAATTTTATTTTCACCATCATTTTCTAGACCACCTACTCATTTTCAACAAATATATATGCTTTAGCATACCAGTACATATATGAATTTAGAAATAAAAACTAAAAAGAATTTTCCAAAACGAAAAATCCCTCAAGATCCCAAAATACCAAAGTTACTAAGGAAATTTCTTAGTTCCAAGAGCCAAACCAATAAAATTGTATGATATGTGAGCAGAAATCTTAGAGCATTACTTTTGACACTTATAGGAAAAACATCATTAGCTAA